CTCGACCCAACAGGACTAAAACCACCAACAAGTAGCACCAAGACTCCTCATCAAACACCTGAAGCCAACCCAAGCTCTTGAGTGTGGCCTCAGAGGAAGAGATTCTCATTCTTAATGAATCTTGGATGTGTAGATCCAGTGAAAAGGGGAAAACTCGGTTTGCCAAATGAAGACAGAAACAAAACATTAAGCCTCACTTTGCTCCTGCTAATAGGAATGGGGGGGTTTGAACCCCCCAGGTGGCAGGAACAGCCCAGCACCAAATCCCCATTGCCCAAGTTGACCGTAGCTGCAAGGAAATACATCTTGGGCCACCTGGATCTGCTCCTGCTGATGTCCTGCTCATGCTCCCACTGAACTCAGTGGTCAAGGTCCTCCAGGGAAATGGGACTGTTCTCGGGGCTACAGTATGCCCAGCATATAAGGTCACCTGGAGGCAGGAGTGCTGCTGCACCCTCAGCAGAGAGATGGCCTTCCCCAGAGGATGGGATAACATGGAAAAAACGTAAAACAGATCAGCTCAGCTACACCCCTGAAACCAAAATGGGCCCCACAACCATAAAGGTATCTAGAGATATCTAGAGCGTATCTCTGTCGGGCATGTGGTCCTCTCCCAGTGATATGAACATGCCCATCAGCTCTCCCTGGGGCCTCTGGGGATTGGGCAGGAGAGGGCAAGATGCTGCCAAAAGGCTGGGAATTTCCATGGCATCCAAAATCATTCTAAGACCAAACTTCCAGCTCTGAAACCGCTTTGAGCATCCTAGCCTTGGCTGACTTCACCCCATCCCCTCCTGTCTTCTAGCTCGGCCTCAAATGGGCACAACGGGCTGGAGTGTGGGAAGGGGGTGGTCAGCACCCCGCTTCCCCAAAATGGGAATCACCTGTCTGCTCAGGTAGCAGCTTTCTCCTTCCCCCTTCACTCCCAGTCTCTCGCAGCTCTCCGGGATTCAGACTGTGCAGTGCTTCTGAGTGCAGTAATTAGAGCACAGTGAAATACTGGTTAAATGAGTATGTACAGTTGGATAACGTAAAAATAAGCACAAATACACACTTAAAAAAATAATCTGGAAAAAACAAAACAAAACAAAAACTCCACTCCCTCCCTCCCCCCACAAACAACAATATAACAGGGGATAACCCCTTAGCCTTAGTTCCTGGACTTATCACAACACACAAGGAAAACAAAAGCAGACAATGTTATAAAACCTCACGGTACTTCTAGGGAAATCTACACTTAGTATCTAGCTCTCTACTCAGTTGGCAGAATCAGTGTTTTCCTTTCAAACACACAAAAATAGGCTTTGCTCTTCTTGGATTTGGATTATGTGGGTTTTCTTTTTCTTTTCTCCACTTTTTATGGGTTTTTGTTGTTTTATTTTTTTGTCTCTATTCCTCTCTGTAAAGCCTCACATGTTATTTTTTTTCCCCACTTGAATCTCTTGCAGCAAGAAACTTTCGTTGGCTATGGGGCTTTCTTTTTTCTCTCTCTTTTTTTTTTTCCCTTTTTTTTTTTTTTCTTAGACACAGGTAAAACCTAGAACAAACCGACAGTTACAACCAAGTGAAACTGAAACTGGAAGGGAGGTAGCTGGAACCCGATTCCAAGAATCCTCTGGTGCCATCCTCCTTTCTCAGCCTGGGGGGGACAGCGGAAGATGCAAGAAAAGCAGGAGGACACCAGCTCAGCCTGTCTGCGAGAGGGTGGGGAGGGAGAGGGGTAGCAGCTGATTGGAGTTTCCCACCCCACCGTGCACCATTTGCCGCTTTCTGCTCCAGCTTTCCCTCCTGCTGGCCATGGACATCCCCCACAGCCTGGTGGCCCCACATAAGGTGCAGCCCTGGCTCACTATCTGTGACAGAGAAGATCTTGGCACTAATGTGAACTGGGCTTTATGAGCAGCTAAATTTCACCACCATGAGCACCCTCTTCTCTTCTCCCAAACTTCTGGTTTGATGTTGTCCTGTGCTCAGCGGGTGGAAGTGGTGGTTGTTGTCCCTCTCACCTTCATCACCCCCTGGCCACCACAGTCTGGGAGGTCTTTCCTAGGACTCCACTGGGAATTTGAGTTCCATACAGTGGTAGATGATGGGAGGATCCAGCCGTCCTTGCCCGAGGTTGGGAGCACAGGGGACAAGACCTGAGCAGGTGTCCATTCCCCACAGCTCCCCTCTCAGAATCCCTCTGGGTGCTTGGTACAGCACCTGAAAATGCAGAGGGGATTTGTCCCAGTGGAAGAAAACACCGAACCATTGGATTTAATATGACTCAGAACAGAACTTATTTCCACTCCTAAACCCATCAGCCCTACACTGGAGTAGAGGGACAGTGCCAACATAGTAGTTAAAAAAAAAAAAAATTAATCAAATAGCAGCATGGAAAACCTGTCAGTGGGAAAGGGAGTTGGGGCATACCAGGACTGCAGGAGGGAAGCTGAGGAGTGAGGCTGTGCTGGTGAGAAGCCACTGTCTCCCTTGAGCTGAAGTGTCCAGCTCAGCAAGCAGGGGCTGGCCAGAGGGGCTCAGCTGGCCTTGAGCTCCTGTGAGCCCACAGCAGCAAGTGGCAATAATATGTACAGACCTGTCTCTCCTGAGCACTGTCCAAGTGTGAAAAGCAGATGGGAAATCTCCGTGCTGAGCTCTGCACTGGGAAGGGCATTTTCAGGATGCTGAACTGAGGCTCCCTGCTGGGATGAAACCCAGGTGGGTGGAGAGGGGAAATCATGCCAAGACACCTCAGGCATTGAGGATGTGAAGTGTTGTCAGTCTGAAAGGCTTTTGATGTTGTGAGCTCTTCTGATAGGCTGGGTGGCACACAAACAATCTGCCAGCAAAACAGGGGAGGGCAAAGGGACCAGAAGGAAGCATCAACCTTTGCACAGAAGGAGAGGGGCAGAAGTTGAAGCTTATGCCACTGCATAGCTGGGGGATGTTCAGTCTAATTCTATGGCAGGGACCCTGATCCCACTGCACCTCCCTTTCCAGGATACCCCTGCACAGGGAGGGCAGAGCCATCCACACAGCTCCTATGGACAGGACTTCTCTAGGAATAGCTGGAGCTTCACAACAGAGAGCTCCTCACCTTCTTAATGACAATCACCTCTCCAGGCCTCTACTTAAGTTCTTGAGATTCTTCTCTGGTTCATTCCAACAGAAACAACACCAACAGTGGGTAACAAGAACCTGGCTCCTTGCACCTATTATTCTATATTTTTTCCATTTCTAGTTCTCCAAATAATTTTTACATCCATCTCTATGAGCTAAACGACCCCTCCCCTTACCCTTCTGCCTTGCTCCAATGCCTAAAGCAGGAGTTAGAAAAAAATCCTTTCCTCTTTGCCCAGTAGATTGTGCAAGTCATGACTGTCCCAAGGAACAAACAAACTTAACACTGGGAAGGATGCTCTTTTGGATGTGTGTTCTTCCTGGCAGGAACTTGGAGCAGCAGACACATGCCCAAGCCACACTGGAAAGATCTCTGGGATTTCCCTGGGATGGTTTTTAGCAGCAGCAGCATTGGATGCCCTGGGTATCTCGGTGACTCAATGTAATGAATCCTGTGAGGAAAGGAATCACCAAGGGTCTGGCACATGTTCCCCTCTGGGCTGAAGCAGAAGGATGAGAGGGAAGTGCGAGGTCTGCTGCAGCTAATGCCCTTCTTTCTGGAAGATTACAGACAGCTAGGCTCCTGGTCTATCCCAAGTGTGCGACCCACTGGCCTGGCAGCTTAATACTGACAAATATGGCCAAAATTCTAATACTGTCTCCTATGGGCCTTTCCTAATGGCAGGTATCTCCTCCTCCTCTTCCCCTCTCCCAGAAAACAGGAGGATGAAGAAGTTGTCAGAATCAGATCACCATAAGAGTGGGGTGGAGGAGGCCTAGAGAGCCACTTGGCAGGGTGGAGACCAGAAAGCAGATTCCTTAGGCTGGCTGGTGTCCTGTTTTCTTGCCCCAGTGCTGAGGAGGAGACCAGAGGGTTTGAAAGGCAGGTTGTAGGTAAGCTTTAAGGCAGACTGTTTGGTTTGCATGGGGTTGTTTTTCACCCTGTCCTGACACAGTAAGGAAACTATTTGTATGGGACATAGCAGCAGGAGTAGCAGCAGCAGACATGCTCAGTGACAAGTGCGGGCGCGAGCTCCCCTCTCTGTGCTCCTCAGAAGCAATCATCCATGTTCCTCCATGCCAGCCCTTAGACTCCCCACTCCCTCACTCCAGCACTGGACCACCTGCCCTGCTCCACACAGAAACATCCCAGAAGCCCTGCAGGCTACCAGGGGGCTTTTTGTTGGCTCTTTGAGGGCAGGGGGAGAAGGAGGAGCTGTACAGAAAGGCCACTGCAGTCTGCTGAGCTGCCTGGCTGGAAGTAGCATTCCTGTGAGGAGCAGATGCATCCCACCTCTCAAGCTGGCTGGGTGCCTGGCAAATCACTTGCCAAGAGGCCCAGCCCCGTGGAGATCCCACCCGAACCACAGTGCCCCGAGCATGCGATACCTCGGCATTCAGCATCAGAAAAGGCTCAGCTTGGGGTCCTCCAAGAGCTCAGCCTCTTCCATGAATGGTCTGAGTTGTGAGTGCTGGGGAGGGGAAAGTGTTTTTGTGTTGATCATAATCTCTCACTCTTTCTCTCTCTCTCTTTCTCTACTTATTTCTATAAATATGTGTACATAAATAGTTTGTTTCTCGCCTTGAATCTAGATATGAACTGTTCAAATTAGGTGGGCATAACATGCTGTTTTGATACATGAAAGTCGTCTTGACTTGACTCGTTTGTTTTTTTTCCTCATCGTCACTATTTTAGATATAATTAATACATAAACCCCTACTTTGAGTTCTCCTTGGACAAAAATTAAAGGCAGACTGGTTGAATTCTAAGGGTCCCTGGTGCAGAAATGCCATCCAGTTGAGCAGCTAAATGTTAAAAACGATACCAAAAGGGATGTGGTGTCTCTCCTAGCCTGCCTTGAGCAGTGTGGTCCTCCTTTCCATGTCACTTGGCTTTACCCAAGACTGAAGCCACGGAGATCTTTCTGGTTGTGCTCTTGGGCATTGGGGTCCCTGCAAGCACACTCTCCTTGTAGGTCACAGGACATAGGAAATGGTGTCACCTGGGAAAGAAACCAAAAAACACAAAGGCATGAAGGAAGGAACACACCTAACAGCAGCCTGGAGAACAAAAGATGTCTGAGGTGAAATCTTCAGAGATCAGCTGCAATCCTCACTATGTTATTTTTCATAGTGATTTATGTTAGAGCTGGGCTGGTGCTGCACTGAGGCTCTTAAGGGCTATGGTTTGGGTGCTGCTATTTAAGTCCATTTGTGCATTTAACTATGAATGTTCTTGGGGTTGAATTCCTCAGGAGCAGAACCAAGAACTGTCTCACAGACCTGGAGTCCAGCAGAGACTTCTCTGAACACCTCTTGTGTTTGAATCAGGGGGTGCAGCTAATGGCACTGAGGCACAGCAGAGGAATGCAGTGGGAGACTGCTGCATCCACCATCTGTCATCTCTCTGTGACCCCTCTGGAGAAGCGTGGGAAGGAGCTGAAACGACAGCCTGTGATGCCTGGCCACTGAAAGCTGATTTGGGCCTATTGCATCACAGTATTTACCTGCAGAAAAGGCAGTGGGACAAGTGTTTCACTTGCCCTGAAGTGAATTCCCAAGAATTTCTCCCATCTGCACAGACTGAACAAATGACCTCATTCCCCTCCTTTACACTCCTTCCAAGGCAGTGCCACAACCTGTTCCAGTGTTCCCAGGGAGGGCTGCACACCTTTGCCTGCTCCCCCTGGCTCTGCTGCCACACGTTCACTCTCCCTTTCACAAACACTTCCCTGCAGGCTACGCCGCCCGACTCTGCCTGTTCCCCATGCATCACCCACAGCCCACCTAGGAATGTCATCTCCATCTAGACCTTCCACACGAGTCCCTGCCTGTCCCTCTCCAGGATGCCTTTCTCCTGACGCACACAATTTGGGAAGGAGGGGTGTGGAGCTTTATTTCACAACTGGGAAGCCTAAGGCAGGGACGTGCTGACAGAGACACTAAATAGCCAATGCTCATCACCAAATCAGGGCTTAGAGAGCCTCCTCCCCTTACTTTTGACTCCATCCACAGAAGACCCGACCCTCCAGGTGGAATAGGGTGATGACTCTTCATCAAGCCGTGGCCTCAGTGACTTTTGAACTAAATAATCAGTGAATAATCGGAATCTACAATTGCGCAAATATGGAGATTGCAAAGAGAAGGAAGAGTCCAAAAAGTTAGAAGCAAATGAATCCAAATAACTGGCAATTGAATAAGTTTATAAACTGCAGAAAACAATAGGAGCTTAAGGGTCACTTGATCCAACAGAAGCCAGCCCGAGCAGGACAGTCTCGTATCACAGTGTTTTGAATATTCTTAGATAGGAAAACAGAGAAGTCTGCAAACAATGGGATTTGGGGATGAGGCTGAGGAGGGATTGTTTTAATGACTGAGTTAAAATACTGGAAAGGAAAAAGAAAAGATACATGCAAAATAAAAATTGTGTTTTTCTCTTCAGCGTAGAAGGAAACATTTTGGTTTAGATTATCTGCTACATTTCATGTTTGACCTTTCCCTTCAAGACAAACAAATAAAAAAGACTATTTCACAGCAAAAGTTATGTCTTGAAATAAAAACTTGTTTCACTTAGAAAGTGCTCAAACAAAACATTTAAGTACGCCTGGAGTTTTCCCCTATTTTCATTTATTTTATCCTGAATCATTCAGTTCAATCTGGATTTGGCAATGATTTTGACTTAAAAAATCCTCCCTGATGTACAGTGAAGCTACTGGCTGGAGGCGAGACCTGGGAACCCGATTCTTTCATTTGTCTTGATCAAGCTTCTTCCTCTCCCTGGCCTGGATTCCCTGTGTTTGCCTGCAACAACCTGACAAAGGTGATTAAGTGGCCCCTTAATTCCGAGGATAGACAGGGAAGATGGATCCACACTTTGCATTGAGCACAGGTCAGCCACACACCCAATTCAGTCATTTCAGTAAAGTGTCTGAAATTAGTGGTGACAGCCTACTGCACTTCGTCTCTGCTGCTGCCCAGGCTTAAGCAGGTTGTGCTGCAGGCACAGAGATTCCAAACATGGTCCCATTTCACCTGTGGGAACATCAGAGCCAGGAGAGAAAGCCCTGCATGACTCTGTCTCCAAACCACCAGCTCACATTCCCCTCACCTACTCTCTGCCAAAACAGCAGCCTTAGACACCAAACTGGCAGGAGTTTGATGTTGCCTTAAGTGCTCCACCTCCTTCATTCCCTCTCCTTCCATTTCTCCTCGTGAATCCCTTGTTTTCCTCTTTGCTTTCTCACAGGCTGTGCTCAGCCCTGGAGCAGCCTGAAAAGGTGCATGTACGAGACTGGATTGCTGCTGCATTACAGCCAATTCCTGGGGAGATGGAGCAACTAGAGAAGAAATGTCTGGCTGTTCATTTTCTCCCTGTAGTGGTCATGGATAGAAAAGCAGAAGCTTCCTCTGGGGCAGAGTAGTGGCCCCCAGAGCAGAGAGCTTTGTGGCTCAGCAGCAGTTCCCAGCAGTGGGTAGCCTGATGGAAAAGGTTTGTTCCTGATCAGATCAGTCTTATTCACTTTATGTCCCTTATGAAGGCTTTTTATGCAATTTGATTTTTACAGTGCTATTGTCCAGATAGATGAATTGTTTTGTCTTATGGCAGTGAGCTCCAGAGATCAGTTTTCTATTATGTGAAAAGGCAGAGATTTCCATGGGTAATGAGCACAGCCACAGTCATATTAGACATGACAAAATTCTCCAAAAACTTAGTGGTAATACAGAGTTTCCCACTTTAAACAACATTTAGAACAAATACACATTTGAGTTCCCCAAGGACCTGATTTCCATAGGTATTTAGGGAATTTAACTCACACACAGAATCTGCTGGGACTGTCTGAAGTACCAGGTCAAGGAAACTGTAAAACCCCTTAGAAGAAGGGCTGTCTGTTGCCTTGGGCTCACACAGTGACAGCCTCTGGAGTACACAGCCATGAAATAGAGCTGCTGGATGTGCTAGAAATAATAAATGCTGAACCTTTCAATGAATGATAGCCCGTTTAGGTGTGCAGCCCAGATATACATACTCCAAGATTAACTACCTCTTTTCTTTTTAAATAGGTCTGTGAAAGCCCAGCTCATTACCAGAATACATGACCTGCATTGGAATTTCCAGATAGACTCATTGTAGACCCAGGAGTAAGGAGTCAGCTCCTCTTCCTCCAAAACACCAAGCCCTGCATTTCACCTACGTCCATCTCTCCATGTAGAAAACCCAGACAGTGTCTAGGAGGGTGAGAAGAAAAAGCTAAAAATTAAGCTTAGGGCCTGTCTTGGACATCTGATAAAGTAATACAAGATACTGTACCCTCAGACCAGTTAAAATAGATTGAAAAAGACAGAAGTGAAGAACACCTACACACACAGCTCTTGGAGATGATCCAGAACAGTCATGGCACTGGATCAACAACGCTCAGGGGAATGTGAGTCACACCAGAACCACACTGGACCACAGACTATCTGTCATCAAGAGAAAAGAGATACAACCTCCTTCATTCCTGTCACCTGGAGTGTGCAGGTCATGACACATCCTGCTCTGAACCTAGAGGAGCAAGGTCAGCAGGTGTGGGCTCACAGGATGGGCAGGAGACTGGCACAGATGCCCAGGTGTAACTCAAAACATCTCAACCAACTCACCACCACTGCTGCACGGTGCATGACCTCAGACTTCCTTCTCCACGGGAGCCCTATGCATCCTCCCCCACACTGAGTGATGAGACCTTGGATAAAACTCAAGCTGCCTCTTAGAAACAGGCTAGATTTGTCCTGGATGCCGTGCTCCTGAGTGTGGGAAGGAAGACAACAATGCAACAGAGCAATGCAGAACGAGGATGCAGGTCATGGAACGAGTGAGAGGTCATAACTCCTCGCTACATGCACCTATCTGAAGAGGCTGGTGACATCCCAAGGCAGATCCCTGCTGAGAAAGGCCAGTCCGTAGGGAACTGGTGGGAATGTTGACAGGAGATATCCCAGACAGGTACAGGAAGGGATGGAAAACAGCTCAGAAAAGGCTGTAAGCTCGTCCCTCACAGAGTCTGGTATCAGGCTGACCTGGCTGTGCCTTCTGTCCATGCCTGGGGTTGGCTCACAGCAGCACCAGGGCAGGATCGGGCCCAGGGAGGGGGAAACAGGGGAGGAGGGCTGCAGAGTGTTGGGAAACAGGCTGTTGTTAGATTTCAGCCCTGAAGTGTTTGCGAAATCTCCCAGACAGGCCTCGCTGGGGCTGTGGAGGCCCTGCTGCAGGCAGAGCCTCGCGGGCAGTGCGGCCTGGGAGATAAGTGTGGCAGCCTGTGCTGAGTGTCACAGCCTTGTGCCTCCCCAGAACCTCCCAGCTCTAACACCAGGGACTATTCTGTTCCTTGACAAGGCTCTTGTGGGATAAAAAAGCATCTTGGAAGGGTCTTCCCGGTTTTCAGCATCGAGGTCACCAGTTTGAGATAATGGAGCAAGGGAGAGCCCCGTTTTAGCTCTGAGCACTGGTATGTGGGTTCACACCTAGGGCACTGCTCCAGAGGGCCTGGGAAGACAAAGCTGGCAGGAAACCTCCTCTCCAGGCAGCACATGCAGTTCTAAAAACTCGAGATTTTGTTAACTACCCCACCATAAACTGAACTTTCCCCCAATGAAACCAGAAACGGTGGTGTAACGAGACGTAGCTCAGCTGAACCCAACAGATGCTCTGCTCTCTCCATCGTATGCAAATTGGGAGCAGCCTCACCAGAACCAGTGGGAGCAGGATGGCCCAAAGCCAGCAGGGATTCCCGGGAAAGCCCAGCCCGCATGGATCCCGCATCCCCGCCTGCCCGCAGAGCAGAGCGAGGGAGCCCGTTTGCCAAACCACACGGAGCTCAGTTGCTCAGCAATCAGCTGTGCTTCCTACTCTCGTGCTACTGATTGTGCAAACATGAATGTAATTAGTCTAAATAATCACCAAAGATTTAATAGGAGCCAGACCACCCAGAGGACAAATAGCTGGCGGTGGAGCAGGGAAGGTTTGCTC